CATTCTCTTTTGACTATGGTCTCCTTTCTCTCTCTCTCTCTCTCTATAATTTACTATTCCATTCTGCTTCCCTTTCGAGTCCGTCGTCTTTGCTCACTATAAATTACTCTTTCGTTACCCTGGGCGCACTAATCGATCTTGCTCGCGCCTTTATCTTTTCACTGAAACTTTCGACCGCACCCCCGGTTTTCTTCCCTTGCCTCCGCATCCCTTTCCAACCCCACCTCTGTCGACGGCGCGTCTATATTCCGCCTCTCCTGGATGGTCTGCGGTCCATCGAGGTCTAAGATCCAGATCTCTCCGTGGAAATACCTTCGTCTAGAACCCTCCGGACTATCCCCGGCTCTTCACGACCTTTCGTTCTCTCAACCATCCCCCGTTTCTACGCTCTTCAGGCACTCGCTGCACTCTCGTCTTCTCCCTCTTCTTCCCCTTTCTTTTTCTCCCGAGGTTTTTTTTTTTTTTTTTTTTTCATTTCGCTCACCCTCGTCTCCGCCCTCTCGTAAGGATGGTCGTAATTGGCCCTTCGGCCACGAGCGACCGCGGCGGAAAGCAGCCGGCAGCGCGGACTTTCCGGATAGAGCGGGAAAGGATTGGGGGTTGTGCGGGATAGGGTAATAGTGGTGGCGAGAGAGATCCTCGGGAGTGTCTACCCTATATCACGGGGGCTGCTGAGGAAGTACAAGGGACACCGGGGCTCTTCCTTCTATCCTCCTGGGAGCGAGCCGGCCATTCCGTCGCTCTGAACTTTACCCGGGGTGAGATATGCAGAAATTAAATATTCATTCGGGTTACCAGCCCTTGCTCCCTGGTTTCTCCCTCCCACTCTCTCTATCTCTATCTCCCTTTCTCACGTTTTCCATTTTCTCACTTTCGCGCATGTATCGTCTCTCCTGACTCTCTTTTCTTCTAACCCTTCCCGGAAGTAATGCTCTGGCTCGAGGCCAGTTCCGTCGAAGCTTTCCGAGTTCGACATTCTCTCGTCTCGCATCAAATGCATCGTTGAAAGATGTGGAGCGATGGTATGCACATATATATATACGGATGTATATCTAAAAATCCTGCTCTATATTTTTTTGTAGAATGCTAAGAAGTTAAAATTGAGAGAAGGTCGATAAATTTTACATTGCAAACGATTGAGAACGGAAGGAATTCTTTTCAATATAATTTCCGCGCACTGGCAATTACAGGTATATATATTTAACAAGTCTAATTTCCAACTTTCCACTTTAGAATTTTAATACGCTGCTGCTTATTTATCAAAATATTTGACGTTGAAATGTATGCGGGAAATTTATACGGAGCGGAGTTACGAGAGCACAAGACATGAATCTTAAAGTCCAACTGGGCCACGAGTTCCACTTTTGCGACATCCTGTATACAAGCGCCCATCGCATCCTCCCGCGCATCTGTGACCCTCTCGTTGTCCCGCTTTCTTTCTCCGAGTCCGACGACTTCCATCGGAATCGGGCGCGCATATTGCGCCAGAAACATACCTGTTGAACCAGCCACCGAGACTTCGATGAAATAATGACGAGTGACTTATGCGCCGTCTGCAGCCACCGCCGGCGGCAGCGGGAACGATAACAGGGTCGGGTTGACTATAGAAGAGATGAGAGAAAGGGAGAACAGGATGCAGACGTGCTGCGTTGCGCAATGTGCCTCGTCTCTCTCTCTCTCTCTTTCCCTTCCGCTGTAACCGGCAAAGTATTCTCCCGTCAGCGTAGAATTGCGTCGTTCTCTCTACACCTTTCATCCCGAACACATCCTGCGGGATGAACGCGGCTGGATGGTTTCGAGGAGACGAAACGCCGTCGTTTCAGGATAAAAGGATTTGTTTTACTACGTCGCGGGGAGCAAAGAGACGGAGGCGAGAGAGATTTGAATAGCGTTGTCGCATCGTGTCGTCGTCGTACGGCGAAAACGCTAAATTGTTGGAATCGCGCGACCGATAATTTGTACACCACCACCCTCGACATCGTCGTCGAGCGGTGTTTTACGGCCAGAATTGCTTTCCCGATCGCTTTTGACTTCTGTCTGCTTTCTAGAAAATTTTCTACAACTTCGAATGCGTTTATAAATAGTAAAGTTTTCGTTGAAGACCGCGAGACGAGTGAAGAGAGAAAGAGAGAGAAATTGAGACTGCAATTAAAAATGGAACGTATCTATGCTGCGAAAAAAATATTGGAACAGTATTGTTAGATAAAGAGTAGTTGCTCGCGCGAGAGTAATTGATTTAAGCAATTAAGTTTAATATTTATATAACACACAATTGATTCTTTCAAATAAAAGAATAGTAACTTTGTAATCTTTAATAACTTCTACGGACGAAGAATTACATAGTTTTTAGATCAATTCTTTGTTAATTTAATTCATATTTATACGAGATATTCCTTTCAGGATGAGTAAGAAAATTGCGATCATAGATGAAAAAATTTTACAAATTCTTCGTTTTTCTTTGTCCTAAGAGTGGAAATGTCTCACGCTACAAGATTTCAAATTCAGTCGCGAATATTTTCTTAGTTAATAATTGATAACCACTTTTCTTCTTTCCTTAATTTTAATTACCATAACTAATATTCTACAATGATGGAAAAGATTAAAACAAAAATTTTAGTAAGTTATGTAATTCCAAAAATAAAACTTCAGAGTTTTAACAAAACATGACATTTATAAAATAATACATAGTAATTTGCACCAAATTAGACTTTAAAAAATTTTAAAGTGAATTTTCGCATTTTTAAAATGGCCAGAATTATTTTTCTCTTTCTTTAATTCATGTAAACTTTTAGGATTACACATGTACATAAAACGAAGAAAATAAAAAATGTTTTTAACGAGTTTTTCATGGAACTTATATAATTTTTCTTCGCATATTTTATATATCTTTTTTTTCATATCAAATCTTTAGTTGTCAATAACTTGCGTTACAAAAAAACGAATGTCCTTTGACGTTACGATAATTCGATACTGCACTTTAGCGCTACGAATGCTTCATATATATAAAAATGCATGAGAAAATAAAATTCTTTTCGAATGTTCCGGTTTCCCACGGGTGGCGGCAATATCCCGATTCCTATCCTACGGTGATCTCACGTACGTGTTTCACGACATCGTTTCAATACCGATTCGAGAACGTAACGATTTCGAAGAAACGCGGGCTGCTGTTTCCGCGTTTGTGATTCATCGTCATCGATTCGTCATTTTATCCGTTTTATTGCGACTGCTGCGAAGAGAAGTTGTATAAAAATAAAAGTGCGGTAGAATGTTGTAACTTATCAGTTTGCTGGATAATTTTATCGTATTGGCATTCCATCTGTCAACATTTTTCTGTTACCTATAATATATAGCGTGTTTTTTTTCATTTATTTTTTTATTAATTACAAATTGATTTTACAATAAAATTGTGATAATAAAATGAATAAGAAATTTGTGACTGTGCGCGATTCAATTTCCAGGAAATGTAAATTTTTAAAGCGAACTTTTAATCGGTCAAGAAATGTATAGATATAATCCATGTTACAATGAGAAGCTTTGTATAATACTGGAAGAAAGATACACGATAATCTTTTTTAAAATGCATGAAATTGCCTAAAATGCTGGACGTTTTGCATAAATTTCAGCCCGATAAAACGATAGGGTTAATAATTCGACAAGCTGACTTTGTGCTTCAACCAGGGGTCATAACGGATCGGCGATCATGTCGCGCGTTTCACGGCACGGTTTGAATTTCGACTTGAATGCGAGCCAATATGGGATACATAACTCCGCGTCGACCATTAGTTTCACCTTTATGAGGCAAATGAACTATGCCCGCCGCCTGTAAGATCGTGGAGTTTACATTTTTAACGACGGAACACGTTTGCCCTCCGATAGTGTGTGCGTCGAGAATTTGCTTTGCGGCGAGCAAACGAACGAACGAGCGAGCGAGCGAAACCGCAAACGATCGATTTCTTCGCGTTTAGAAAGAGCGCTTCATTTCGATGGATAGATTTAACCCTAGAGCAAGGTTCTGATTCGTAACCATGTAATGGCGCTATTCGCGATGAATTGATTCCATCGTCGCAAGTATATATTATTTCTTAATATTGAAATATATATTACTTAAAGAAATTAGGAATGATGATGAATAATTGGAAATGCAATATATATGGTATTCTGTATATTTGAATTTGATATCAAATATTTCAAATATAAATTGTACTTTTAAAATTTTTAGAAATATCATTTGTTATAATTTGCATTAATATAATACATTATATATATCAATTACTTTTAATGTATTATATATTACACATTTTATTTAAATTATATTATATTATAAAAAAATCACGATAAAAGATAAAATAATTATTTTTTAATATAAAATAATTTATATGTAAAATATATGTTATTAATATATATAAAATTACAAATTATATTTATAAAAGTTTAGAGTACGAGAAATTATAGATACTTTAAATATTATATGGAAGATGACAAAGAAGACGATTTAGCTTGCGATAGTATTAGTAATATAGATAATTTCAGAGTTGGTAATAAGGGGTAATGTTACAATTCCCTTTCTCTCTCTCCGTTACGTTACAATCGCTTTTGCGTTCCTCTAATAATATCGATATATCGGTATCCCAATGAGACCTTAGCATTGTCGACTGCGACGACGCGGTTAAAGGTATTTCCCATCGACAAGGGATGGACTTTAACTAGTTAAAGCCACTTTCAGTAAGAGTCGCATTGCTGTAACCTCTTTACGGAATTACGACCCTTATGGAAAATTTCGAAGGACTTGGCTGACGAACAGAAACTCGTTAAATTAATTTGCCGCAAAAGCGATACCGTCACCGATGCAATTATAAAATTATGTAGCTCGCAGAAAATGATTAGTGTGCATCTTACCGTTCAACTAATATTATTTGATTAGATATATGATATTATGTAATATAAATCCCCCTCGAAATAACTATTCAATCACTAATTATCACAATTAATTTTGATTTCAGAGCCAACAACAGAGACGAGGCGAACAGCTGGAAACTCGCCAGGTAAATTTTTACATCTTCAGTTTTTCTCCAAGTATCGGGAAAATGAGAAAAAAAAGATTGAAGTATTTCCAACTTTTTGAGGCCAAAAGCAAGAGAGGAATATCGTTCCCTTACATATGTCATTCGTAAAAGTACAAATACGTAGAAATTTTCGATACATTTCACATTAGTCGCCAAAATCGATGTCTGATTAAATTGACATAACATTGTTTGCCGTTGCTCCGCTGTACCATCGTATGATTGTATGTGTACAGCAAACGTCGGCGGAGACAGTCGCCAAAGTTCAAAGTAATTTCGGGACACGCGGCAAAACGTTTAGCACAGATTCCTTAGCGTCCATTGACGATCCCGGAAACACGTCCGCGGCATTGTTTGAGTTTCGATTTGAATGCGGTCCAATATGTACCGCGTGGTACATAGTAGTTGTCTATATTAGCTTCTCATTTGCCTGCTACACGCGATGTTGTCGACGATACTGCGAGAGAGAGAGAGAGAGAGAAAGAGCGACCAATTAAATTAACTAATAATGTACATCGTAATCACCTTATATCACGTGGCATTCGATCAATTACCAATTACATAACAGAGAATCGATAAATAAACAAGGGTCATTAAATGTCGAGAATTATCGTATAAAAATGTAATTAATTTTAATGTTAACGAACGTTATCACAATAATTATGATTATTTTTAGGCACAAGTTACAAAGCAACTGAAATATGTATGACGAGAAATAAGAGATGGATTCGAAATCATTTTTTCTTATCCCCGAGTACGATCAACTTTTCTTTGAAAATCCAAATTGTTACTAAAAAAAAGTTGTCGACGAGATCGTTATTTTCCTCTACATTCGTCAAATTATGCTGTAATATAAAAGTAGCATGTTCTCATTTTAAATCCGATTGCGCTGATTTTATTCAGATAAGATGAATCAGATTACGATAGCGATATAAAACTTGAGTTATCGGTTCCGATTTTATTTGCGTAAAATTTTCAGATAAGATGAAAAAGCGGGGTAGAGGGAGGGGGTTAATAGCGATTCGGAAACATATATTACCGTGACTCTCCCAGTAGGTAACGCATTTTTCGCGGCATCGCGTCGTCTAGTTTCGACTTGAACTCGAGCCAATCCCGCGATCCGCTGTTTTGCCCTCGAGAACGTGGCGAATCACGTCATAAGGACGATCGTTACGGCGATTCACGATAAAATCCTTATTCCACGGCTCGCCGTCGTTGCCGTTGCCGTCGAGGATGAGAGAAGCAAAACCGCTTTCTTAAATATTATTCGCCCCCGAGCGTTCTATTATTCCACGCGAGACGGGAGTGGTCAGGAATTCGATCTCGCTACACCAGAGGATTTCCGCCGGATACAACGTCGACTCTTTCTCTCTCTGCGTTTTTTTCGTCCCTCGTTTCTTTTTTCTTTTTTTTTTCTCTTTTTTTTCTTTTCTGTTTCAGGATGTCCCTATCGACGTGGATCGAATCGGTAGAATTATGTTGTTGCGCCGACGAAACGATATATTTCGTTTCTCGCCTTCGACGGGTGCTCTAGTGTTTTATGTAAAGACCGAGCAATTTTATTCCACGTCCTCGAGTATGCTCTTCTCTTCTCTCCACCCTTTTCTTTTTCTCCCTTTCTCTTTTCTTTAGGGACCTCTCCTTCGGTACCATAAATTTCACCCACGTTACCTTACCCACCTACTATCCCCCTCTTCTGCTTTGCACTGTTACGCGCCCATATATTTCGATATCCTAGAACTCAACCTTGTTCCCGCAACCCATTTCGAAGCACTCCCGCGGTTACTTTGGCTCGCCCATCTTATACGTATATATCCCGAATTCCGATATCGCGACCGCAATGCTGTATAGGTACATTCGGTAACTACATCTTGGTGCGTCACGTAGAATGGATAAGGCTTTCAATTTCATCATCGTTTCGGATATTTACACCAGCGCGCGTTTACTTTGTTTATTTAATCAAAATCGAGAGATTTAACTTATAATCTGATGGACTAAAAGTAATCTAATGTCTTAATTATGAAAATTATAAAGCAAAGGCTATGAGCGACAGAGATTTAGCGACTCTAAGAGATATAGAGGAATATTTTATTAATATATTTATATCAATAATTTTATATTTTAATATTAATTATTTTAATATTCATTCTTCGCCTTCTTTATTCGTAAACTTATTTTTTTTTTTACCAAGGAAGCGATGTGATGTATGAAATAGATGTCACACTAACGACGATCTAATATAACGTCACAGCCCGATATATAAAAACTCGTCATCCATCTACCGAAGTTTTTAATACTACGCTCTCTCTTTTTTTTCTAAAAAGGCTGACGTTTTCTTCGTTTTGTTTTTTTGCGTGCGTTTGATGGAACGTCAACAACGACGTGACGTCCTTCGCTTTTAATTTACTCTCGACGAGATCGATTCCTCGTACATCTCTCTCTTCTAGAAACGATTTTCATTCTATTTGCTTGGCCGCCGTTTAACGGCCGCATGCTACTAAACCACCGCAATACGGTGGACGCGCCAAGAAACTGTATTTTTCTCGTCTTTGATTTTTCCAAGGGAGTCTATTCTATTTGTACAGTTGCCATCGTATTCCGTACGAATCTCTTTTCCACCTCGCCGGACATTCCGATATCCCAGTGCTTAACCTTGTTCTCCAAACCCATTTCGAAGCTTTCTCTCCTAGTTTTACGCTCTTCTCTCGTTCCCTTTCTATTTTTTATTTATCACCAAAATTCGGAGTCAAGTTTCGCGTTTCGCATTAATTCGGTGGATCAAGCTGTAGTTTGAAAATCTTTGTTATATATTTGTGACATTTAAATAAACAGCTTGTAAGAGATGACAATTCTTATTTTTTATAATTCACAATTTTATCTTTTTTTATAATAGAAAATATATTATTTTTTAATATTTTATTTAAAATTTACGTTGAAGGATTGATTATTGATTAATTTATATTATATATACATTCTCTTTTTGCGTCTCTGTTGCCGTAATATGCTATTTTTTAATATATACTCTTATAAATAAATTTTTCGCAGATCTCGAAAGGCGTGATCTTTTAGATACGATAAATTCCTACTTTCCTAATTTGATTCGATATGCGATCCGGTGATTCTTAGCTTTTCTCGCTATTTGTATTCGCCTTTTTTTCACGAAGAAAATCCATTCGATCCGACGATTTCCGTAATCCGTAATCCACTCGATTCTCGTTCGTCGGCGTGAAATTTTAATACCAAATCAATCCTCACTGTCGCGGCTTTATCGCCTGCTGCGAACGCGCGATATCGATTTCGACCGTTGCGACAATTACGATTGACGTTTCGATACACGATCGAGGAGCGGCCGCGGATCGGATTTCTCACGCCGACATTGCTGTTGCTTTCAACAACGACTTCACCTACCGTAACCTTCTCATCTCGTAACTTCGACTTCGAGTTTCATCATCACAATGAAAAGATACATCTTACTTCTTTGCCAGTAGCATAACCAACGAAGCCCGCAAACCTCAGGGGAGACCTAGTGCCGAAAGAAAGGATGCAGGGAAAAAAAAGAGAGAAAAAAAGGAGAAGGTCGAGAGAAGGAGAAAAATAAATCTGTTTATTATTCTGGAACAAGCCCCATCGGAACAAGAATAATGCAAGAGCGGAAAATGTAAAGGATACAAAGTAGTGAACGGTAAATACCGAAATGAACGGTAAAAATCGAAAGAGAAATAAAAAAAAGGGTAGTAGATAAATATGATACGTCGGTGTAAAAATATTTATTTTATATAAGAATCGTATAAAAGAGACTCTCTCCTTCACTCGAAGAATACCAAGTAGTAGTACACTAAAACAATGATGAAGCAAAGTCACTCGCACATTCGGGAATGCTTAGCAGTAACTTAAATAATTTAAAGAGAAGGGGAGAGAAAATATGTGTGCCAAAAAGAGGAAAATCGAAAGGACGGAATGAAAAACGAAAAGTAAAAATAATCGAGATTGTGTGGTTGCTCGAAATACTGGAAAAAGGGTCCTTTAGCTTCTTTTGCAGCGGAGAGTGCGCGCTATAAACTCGAGTTCTCTCTTACGTCACTTGCATTCGCACTCAAATATTCGGGCGGCGTCATAAATTTTACTCCGCCATCGTACATATATACATATATCCCACGTGCCATTCGCTATTTTGCCATGAATTCCGATATCCTAGAACTTAACCTTGTTCCCGCAATTCATTCCACAATTCTTTCATTTATTTCGATCCCCGGCTTTCTCGATACCGCACTTGCGCGCGCACGTTGCACTTCTACGAGAGAAATATATCCGACCTGACGTTTACGTCGACGCTCTCTACGTTCTCCCTCTCGTTTTCTCTATTTCTCGTTGTAATTCTATAACGTATGCCCGTTGGAAAGAATTCTGCGCAAAAATCCGTCTTCCAGCGAGTCCGTAGAGAAATGACAAATCTAAATCCTTAATAAATCTATAATTCTATATAATTATTTTATATAATTATTCCAATTCTCAAGAGCTATAATAAAGCTTAAGTCCGATAAAGTTAAATGACATAAATGTATAATATAAAAAAGGAAATACACGGTAGATGTTGAAAATATTTTCTAAAATAAGAAGTATATAAAAACATCTCTCTTAATATAATTAGCTATAAGATTGGTTTTTAAATTACATATTAAATTTTTTAATATTGTGCAAAATTCGATAATCGATGCGCAGATTGAAAATTATTCTTTCTTTATTTTTATACATATTACTGGCATATAAATTAATGCATACTTCTTATCGACACTGGCAAATTGTCATCTTATATATTATATTTAAATTATTTGCATTAAGCAAATGTCAGAGAAAACTGGAAAATCCAGCATATCCAGCGCCGGTTATTGACAGATTTGCCAATAATGTTCTTGCGCGCGCGATCGTAAGTAATATTAATAGGTGACAAAATATTTATATAAAAGATCTACTCTATCGAGAAG